TCTCCAAAAAAAAAAAAAAAAAAAGATCATACTCCTGATCACAAAGAAAGAGGAATGGAGAACAAACAGCTCCTCTTCCTGTCATTCAGACAGCACCATTCTTCATTCCGCATTGCTTTCTTTTTTAAAAAAATTCTTACTTGTTTACATTTAATCACTGTGCATCGTGAGAGTACACAGGATGGTTTCCCCAGCACAAATGCAGTGCCTATCAGTCAAGACAAAGAACCATTCAAGAGACGTAGTGCCTCCTGTGTGCACGTCGGCTGTCTTCCATCACGTACAGTGAGGAAGGGGACGGCCCCGTACCGCCCAAGATCCTCTGCCGGGTGGTACAGACAGTGCCTGCGGGCAGGTACTGAGGCCTCGCAAAGCCGGCACACTGGCCTCCTGGAGGGACTGAATCTTCAGGCTGGAACGAGCACCTACAGGCTAGAAGTAGCTCCGAATGCTTGGAGTGTCCAACAGCTGGGAGGACAGTGAGAGAGGGAGTGCTCAGAGAAGAGGCCACCTTGGTGGGCATCGGGGCATTGAGGACACGGGACGGGACGGCCATCAGGTAGAAGGAGCCTCTCCAGGCCGTGAGGTGGAGGAGGGTCACGTGGCTGTGGTTTATTGAGGTGGGTCACTGAGGACTGTGTGAGGTATGGGCTGAGGAGAGACAACTGGGCTCCTGAATAAAAGTGAAGAGAGGGGCTGGGGTTGAGTCTCTTCTTTTGAGGAGATGTGGGCAGAACCAGGGACCGATGGCACACTGGGGTAGGGATGGAAGGAGCACAGAACAGACTTTGAGATAATGATATTGCCATTTATCAAAATGAGGAAAGCGGGAAAAGAAGCCGATTTCATGAGAAAGCAAGCAGGTAAAACCACTTGGAGATGTACGGGGTCTCTGATTCATCAGAGACATTGAAATGGAAGGGAAGCCTGTCTGTTCCAGGGGAGAGGGTCGGGTGGGGATATCGACTGGGGAGACTTCAGGCCCTAAGTGGAAATGGTGGGGATGCAGACCATGCAGAGAGTGTAAGAGGCCTGTAGAAACCAGGAGTCCGAGGAGGCAGGAAGAAAAGGGCAGGCGGTAAGAAAAGGAGGAGTGTAACCAGCAGCTGAGAGAAGTCAGAGAGCCGCAGGACGGAGGCTGAGGGAGACTACGGTGGTGAAAACGAGTTAGCGAAGTTAGGTAAACCTCGTGATCCCCAAACCCAACGAGGCGCTCAAGATCTTGACTATTCACAGTTCACAACTGCTGTTTGTCCTGATAAGTCCCCAAACACCCAGCTCATCAGAGACATTGAAATGGAAGGGAAGCCTGTCTGTTCCAGGGGAGAGGGTCGGGTGGGGATATCGACTGGGGAGACTTCAGGCCCTAAGTGGAAATGGTGGGGATGCAGACCATGCAGAGAGTGTAAGAGGCCTGTAGAAACCAGGAGTCCGAGGAGGCAGGAAGAAAAGGGCAGGCGGTAAGAAAAGGAGGAGTGTAACCAGCAGCTGAGAGGAGAAGTCAGAGAGCCGCAGGACGGAGGCTGAGGGAGACTACGGTGGTGAAAACGAGTTAGCGAAGTTAGGTAAACCTCGTGATCCCCAAACCCAACGAGGCGCTCAAGATCTTGACTATTCACAGTTCACAACTGCTGTTTGTCCTGATAAGTCCCCAAACACCCAGCTCCCTGTCTGCGGCCCGGAGTCCAGCCAGGAACAGCAAATCCATGCGTATATTCTTTCATTCCTGGATTTTCTGCTGTTTTTCATGCCTTTTAAATATTTCCTCCCAAAAGTTCCCTGGTTATTCTTCAGAAAGCCCCATACGATCTGTGCCCCAAGGACCCAGTTTCACTGCAGGGCCTGCTCACAAACGTCTCGGGGTATATTCTGAAAGAGAAGGGGCAGGTACCCTCAAGGGTGCATCTCCCATTAGGTGCCAATTTCATGGCGACTCTGGACACCACTCAAATAAAGGATTTTGAGGCCCTCTCTTGTGAGTTTGACCCCGTTTCCTACCCCTATGGAATCAGTGTACATTTTTTCCCTTTTTGTTTTAAATGTCAAAGAAACAGATATTGAAATAAGTTTTGTTCCCAATTTCAGCTCGGAAGTCTTCTGGTCAGCCTGGCCGACTCCCACTCCCGACTCTGGCTCCCCCACAGCCGCCACCCCCTGAAACCATAGAGCGGCCTGTGGGCACTGGGGCCATGGTGGCACGCTCCAGCGACCTGCCCTATCTGATTGTTGGGGTCGTCCTGGGCTCGATCGTCCTTGTCATCGTCACCTTCATCCCCTTCTGTTTGTGGAGGGCCTGGTCTAAGCAAAGTGAGTGAGTCACCCTTCTTAGCCCAGGGGAAGGGAGGCCGTAGGGAGTGGCGGATCCCAGTGACCAAGGAGCCCTCCACCCAGGGAGCTCAGAGGTGTCCAGCTCCATGTCCTCTGTACGCTCAGTCTCCTGGTGTCCTGGAGGCCTCAGAGAGGCAGAGAACACCGCATCTGGGCCCCCCCCTCCCGGTGCACACACCGCAACCGAGGCTGGGAAGTGGGTCTGTCCTCTCCGTGCTCTGGACCTCAGCACTTCCCTGGCTCCATCTTCTTTTACTGGCTGATCTCATATTCATTGTTAAAGCTGGTCTTGCCTCTTCTTTCCACTCATTTCCTGCCTCTATTCTGAGTCTGGGGCTTCCTTGAGCTCCCACCCACCCCCCATCCTGAATTAATCTGATTGTTGCCTACCAATTTCTGGTCACCTTGCCTCACCTAAACACCGCTCCTTTTCACTCAGCACCTCCTACTCCCAAACCCTAGCCCCATTTCTTCCCAATCTTCCCATCCTTCTCTCTGAACACAAATAAGTAAATATGTAAGAAAAGGAATAGGAAATCCTCAACACTAGGAGCAAATCACAGGAAGGAAGATTCTGAGAGAAAATATTCTCCATCCCTTGGGCAAGGTCAATTCCCTGCTGATATCCGTTGACCCTAGTCAGCACTTCACATTGGACTCAATGTGCCTCAGGCTTCTCTAGCTTAAGCCTACCTCTGTCCCTTTGTCCTTCCAGAACATACAACAGACCTGGGTTTTCCTCGAAATGCCCTTCTACCCTCCTCCTGCCAATACACCATGGTGCCCCTGGGAGGACTCCCAGGCCACCGAGCCAGTGGACAGCCCTACCTCAATGGCATCAATGGACGAGCCTGTCCTAGTGGGATCCATATGGCGAGGGGCTGCCCTGCAGTTGCCATGGGCTACCCAGGCTTGAAACCCCAGCAGCACTGCCCAGGGGAGCTTCAGCAGGTAACCACTCCTGGGTGCATGGGTGGCAGCGGGGGACACCGAGGAGGGAGTGGGTGAGCTGCCTTTGGGGGCTGCCTATCTTTGGGCCTCATCCTAGCTGCTGGACCAGGCTTCATCTAGGTAGGAAGAGCTCATCCTGTTGAACGGTGAACACTGGCGAGGTGCCTGGATGCCCTGACATGACCTTCTCGTTGCTCTTTCTTTCGGGCAGCAGGATGACACCAGCAGCCTGCTGAGGCAGACCATTCTTGGCAGTGGATATGACCCCCAGAGTCTCCAAATCACCAGGTAACCAGGCTCCTCCCCATCCCTGCCTTTCACTTCCAAGCATCAGGGCCTCACTTTTCCCCTTAGCTCCTCAAATCCAGCATCAGGCACAGAGAACCGAGTAGCAGGGCTCCACTCAGGGACCCTGGATCCGACAGCCCTGCTCTGCCAGGCGGTCACTCTTGATGGGTATTTCCTCCCTGCTTGGGAGCATGGGTTGGCTTCTTGGAACCCTTCCCTCTCAGCAGGCCAGAAACATCCACCCACAACTGACTTTGCCCACAGGCCCCTGGACACCTGACTTACTTCCTGCCCCAAGGATTAAAATGGAAAGGACTAGAACCTTAGTGGAAAGGATGGGGGGGTTCCTCTCTTGATACTGCATCTGGGCTCTGACCAGCTCTGATACACTCAGACAGGGAGGCAGCCGTGGAGATGCGGGACCCAGGCGCCCTGCACCCTGCCTCACCTCCCCACGTGCTCTTGTGCAATGCAGGGCTCCCAGATCTAGCCCAGATGAGGGCTCTTTCTTATACACGCTGCCCGACGACTCCACCCGCCAGCTGCTCCAGCCCCGCCCGGACTGCTGCCTCTCCCCAGAGCAGCCTTCCGCCGCGGGCCCATCTGCAAGGAGGAGGGCTCCCCCAAGTCCCAGGCTGGAAGCAACGTGGGACCCTCCCTTTCACCCAGGTCAGTGCCAGGGGAGAGTGGAGAAACTGAACAGTCTGGGATGAGGTGAGGGCAGCCTCCATGACCCAGCCGTCACGTGGCGGAAGAGGACCTCTTTACAGAGGTGGCATTTGGTAGGGAACCACCACAGCTTTCATATGGAAGGGACAGGCTCCCAAGGGTGGCTGCCACTCTCCCTCACTGCGGAGGGACCAGGAAGTGGGTGTGTGGAGGGGCCGGGGTCCAGGTGGGTCCTATTTCAACATTACAAGCTGTGGTCCTCAAAGGCTGAATAAAGGGGCACTTCCACACGTCAGAAAAAGCCCTCTGCATTTCAAGGCCAATCGCAATTTTCTTTGGCCTCTCATCACACTAAGACATTCTCTAATCACTCTGAAATACCTGGTTTTGTTGGGTCTTGTCTCTCAATTAAGGAATAAAGTTGCATCAGTTATTAAGGAGCCGGGCTCTTACAAACATCATTATCATAACTTCATGCTCCCACAGAACTTTTGCTCCAAGTGACTGAGGGCCATTCTCGCCACCTCCCTCCCACTGTCTCCCTCTGCGCTGGACTCCCTGGAAACTGGCAGACACTGGGTTAGGGTGCAGGCTGCTTTCAGAGGGTGGCCGATGTTCCTTAGCCTCCCTGGTGTGCTGTCATTTTGTGTGCAGACCCTGTACGCTGTCTCTGGGAGATTAAATTCTGAGACAGTCAATTTCTAGAGCCACATCCAGCTTCGTTCAATCTGGACTACGTTGGTCTGGGGGAATGAGCCCTGAGTGGGTTCATTATAGCCCTGAGCCATTCCAAAGCTTGGGCTCACTGGCTAAATCTGGGACGAGCAGAGCTTTGTTCCTGGGTCTGCTGACTTCAGCTGCCGCTGGGGTACAGGCCAAGAGCTGGAGTTCCCAACGTTCTAGCAGATGGGATGTGGGTAGTGGGTGGCCCTCCTACGTCAGAGACCCCAGAGGGAGAATAAATGCCCTTGTCTCGGTTATGGGTTTCTGTCCCTTCTTGAGAGCTAGAGTAACCAGCTCCTGGCACGGACAAAGATTGGCCTGGTCCTCACATGTTGGTTTCTTGGTTAGTCTGAACTTCAATGTTTCTCATTTTCTCTCCTCCTCAGGGCCCCCATGTTGCTTGGGCCTTGTACCCGTTGAAGAGGTGGACAGTCCTGACTCCTGCCAAGTGGGTGGAGAAAGCTGGTGTCCCCAGCACCCCACAGGAGCCTACGTGGGACAGGAACCTGGGATGCGGCTGTCCCCCAGCCCACCGGTGCATGTGTCTTTTGAAACACCCCCTCCCACACTTGAGGCAGAAGCCAAGATCCCAGAAAGACTAGATATATTGCTTAAAAAAAAGAGAGAAAGAGAGACAGAGAAAAATTGGTATTTATTTTTCTATTATAGCCATATTTATATATTTATACACTTGTAAATAAATGTATTATGTGTTTATATAATTCTGGAGACACGTGGGAGCCCTGCCTGTCAAGGCACAGGAGGGAGAGCAAGCCACAACCTAATAGGAGTCCGCCAGGAGGGAGGAGCACCGACTGAGGGAGTAGCTCCCTACCAAGCAGGAGCACAAGCACCGGCAGCGGCCTGGAGGCTGTGGGCTGCAGAGAAGCTGGTGAGAAGAATCCTAGGCATTTTGCTCGTTAGGACCTGAGGGGAAAGCCAGGCCCCGGGCTCACAGACTTGGAGACCCCTCTGGAGGCGGCTGGATCTGGTGCTGCAGGAGACGCTTTCCTAAGCCGCCCATGAGCACAGACTGTGAGTGCACAGCACTCGGAGCATTAGCAAACCTTCCAGAATCAACCATCTGAGGCAACGTAGCTCTGTAAAAACAAACACTGTAACTTCTAAATAAACGTTTAGTCTTCCCTGTAACCTCCAACTTCCTCATGTATGAGTGAGCATTTTCCTTAGATGCTGGACTTCGGTCTTTGCATATCTGAAGAAGATACTTGCTGAGACCAGCAGATGGCAGAATGGTTATGTTGCTGGACTCCCACGTAGTTAATCATGGTTCGAGTCCCGGATCTGGCTACCTAAAACTCATACTTGGCATGTGAGCGTGTGTGCCCAGGATCCTGAGAGGAGAATGGTGGAGAAGGGATTGTGGGGTGGCCATTCCCTCTGGGGGGGTGATTTCTCGTTTCTGTCTCTCTTGTCTCTCTGGTACATCCACACACCCTGTAGCAAAAATCTCGCTTAAAAAAAATACTTAAAACATTTTCATATCCATCAGATGAGATCTGGAATATGTAAGCAGATGTTTCATACACATGTATGTATGTGTACACACGCACGTGCACATGTATCCCTTATGGGTCATTTATGATTCTGAATGTCGGTGTTTTGATAAATGCAGAACACGTGAACTCTTGCATCTGAGAGAAGGCTGTACAGCAGGCAGGAGTGGGCTCCCAGTTCTATTACTGACTGGATTTGAGAGAAAAACTTCGGTCATCTTGAAAGACTGAAACTACTTTTTTATGTAGGTGTGTGTGTTTAAGAAATATTTTCTCCAAAATATCATTTAAGATGTTCAGTGCTGTGCTCCACGTGAACATTTGGTGCCTGATAAACTCATTTCCCTTCTTTCGAATATACCACATTGCTGGGGCAGCTGACTCTGTAGTTTAAAATCTGCTTCACTCGCTGTTGACCAGCCCGAGAATCGACCATAGGCTCTCTTTTAAGTTGAAACGTTCAAACCTTTTTATGTGGAACTGGAACTGGCTGGAGAAGGGAGCTTGCAATGAAAGCCTTAACACGCTGTGTTTGGCAGGCAGTGCAGGAAGGGGTGTGCTTTATAGATTTCAGGAGAGTCGAATTAACATTAGTAGTGCAGTGGTTAAGTGCTGTGCATAGTGAGCTGGATTGGATTTCACATGGCCGAGTGCGGTTCGAATCCCTGCCCTGATTGGAAAACCTGCTAGATACGGCCAAAATTCTGAGCGAATGATAGAATGGCGGGATAAGGATTACAGTGTAACCACGCCCTGTTAGGAGGTATTTTCTCTCTCTTATTCGCTCTCATTATCTGTGGCAAGCACATGCACTGTCTAGTAATTAAAACAAAAATCAAAAAGAAATAACTTAATCTCATTAAGAGCCCTGCCACACTTGTGACTTCTAATCAGGGGGAATTGGATCAACAGGATCCTAGGAAGCCTGGGAATCAGACTCTGTCTTGGACAAGTGCACCCTCTCCTGGCGAGAGGAGATACAGCACCTGCTCTTAAATACTATACCCTGGATTTGAGAAAGCGCTCATCAAAATGCCACAAGATTTTCAGGAAAGCAGCAGTTTAAAAGCAGCTTTTAAAATAAAAAACTGTATAGAAGGTGGAAATGATAGGAAAGAAGTAAATCAGAAGAGAGAAGAACTAAAACACTGTGATTTCAGACGACTTGGCATTGAGGGCCCGGAGGTCACTTCTTGGAGAGGACAGGCCTCCGTATTCACTTGACTAATGTAGAAGCACAGTCAAGTCTGAGTCGTACTCACTTTCTAAACCACTGGATTCTTAAACAAACAAACAAAAAAACTCCCATTGTTTTTTCTCCTTGGTGACTTAAGGGAGTTGCCAAAGTGGATTTCAGTGGAGGTTATAGACCTGATAACTTAGGACATCTGCTTTCTGCGTAGCCTTAGGCATAACAACAGTGAATGGTATTGGCTCTCAGAGTTCCTGGGGGCCTGATAGGGCACAGCAGTGACGTAACTAGACCCACATGGAAAGGGACCCACCTCCTGTCCTGGATTCTCCCTGCACACCCCAGACACATGCACACACGCCCGTGATAAGAGCTAGCTGAGGCTGGGGACGGATCACGGAGTGAGCACCCTGTTGGGGTTACTTCTCTCTCTCTCTCTCTCTGGCAAAAGAAAGAAACTTCAAAAAAAAAAAAAATCTCAGGAGGGGCCACATGGGGCATGGCACCTAAACACAATGCTATGTGAGGGGACCCAGGTCGGGAGGGTCCAGGTTTCAATCCGGAGGCCTCTGTGAGTGCACTCGGCAAGCGCTGCTCATGATCCAGACCTGGCTCATCAAGACCTTGTTGGAGATGAGTACACTTTCTGTCTTACTCATGGGGGAAATAAATAAACTTTAAAAAAAAATAAAAATAAGGTCCTGGGAGGGCCAGCAGGCAGTGTGAAGGTTAAGGCAGCTGTATCCCACGTAACTGACAGGGCAATTCAAGTCCCAGACCCAGCAGCTTGAAAATCATGCCAGGCAAGTGTACGGTGTGCCCAAAATCCTAAAAGGAGAATGGAGGAGAAGGGATTGCAACGTGGCCACCCTCTCCCCACCAGGAGAGTGATTTCTCTGTGTCTCTCTCCTCTCCCCTGGCGAGTGCATACACAACACAGGAAACAAACAAACAAACAAACAAAAACACTACCTTAAAAAATCCTGGGAAAGAAACACGTTTTCTGAGGCATGTTAAATGAGGTATCTGTGATATTTACCTTAGCCAATTACAGGAAAGAAGGAAAAAGAACATCAGGCTTTTTACATTTCAGCCCATAAAATGAAATAGCTCAGATTTCACTGCATTTTGTATTTCTCTAGATTTAGGCTAAGTCCTTGTTATACTTTTTAAAAATTTGATTCCGTAAGTGAAGGTGAGTAAATTACTGAGGGGAACTACTAAGACCTGGTGGCAGGAGCCGGAGGGGTGCAGAGCTCTGCAGACAGCTCCCTGACCTCTCCACAGCAGCTGCTGCAGCAGGACAGGTGGACTCCGCGGGAATGGCCACTCTTCACTGTGCGCTTGTGACAGAGGGGTTCGGCCTCTATAGTGGCGTTACTTCCAGTGCTGAGCTTTGGTGACGCAATAGATGAGAGTTGAAAATAGCCAAGCTGGGGACCAGCAGGTGGTATGGTGGTTGAGGTGCTGAACACTTCCATATGGCCAACCATGGTTCGAGTCCCGGACCTGGTGGCTTGCTTTCTCTCTCTTTCTGTTTCTCTCTGGTCAAATTTTAAAAATGAGTGAATGAATAAATAAAATTGAATAAATAATTCTTTTGTTAAAAAAGAAAGTAGCCAAGCTGTATTTCCAGCGAATCCACAGGTAACCCTGGGCAAGCTGATTGAGGGCATCACCGTAGGTGAGGTTGCTCCTGAGAGCAGAGCAGGAGGCAGAAGCCAGCGTGATGAAGGGATGGGGCCCAGACAGCTGCCCACCACCTCCCGCCCTGGCTGCACTGGGGGCAATCTTCATTTGAAGCTTAACTTCCCAAAGACTCACATGCTCATACTTCATTATAGATTCAAGGCTAAGTCTGGGGTCAAGTAGAAATGAAAACAAAACCATCAGTATATATTGTTATAATTCACAATAAAAGAACCGAGTGTGAACTGCATTATCAAATGCCAAAGGCACTGGACGAAGCCCTGAATATTATAGACTTAAGTGATTCACTCTCATTTTGGGAAAAATAATAATCCTGACTGTAGTTTAAAATATTCTTGGAATCCTTGACACGGCTCTTCCATAAACTCTACATCCATTCTTGCTGCCATTAAAAATCAGGGAATTTCAGAGCGGGGAGGATCCTTAGAGCTTATCCAGATTTCTCATTGATCTGATGACAAGATGAAGCCCAGAAAGGTTATGTAACGTCACCTGCTTCTCACAACCACCAAGGGGCTCTTTCTCAGAGACCAGCCCCTTAAGCCAGGCAGTCGCTCATTGCGGTAGCCAACCCCACCTGGCCCCTGGGCCCTGCGTGCTGTTTGCACAGTGTCCTGCCCCTCCCGTGCCACAGCAGGGTTGGCCTGTGTGACCCATGTGTTACTTGTGGATCCGGCTGTCAAGACTGTGGCCTCCATCTGGGTCCTCTATTGCTCTCTCCCTCACCCTTGGATCACTCGCTCTGGGAGAAGTCTGACTGTGAGCAGACTGCGGAGGAGCCCCTGTGCTGAAGACCCGAAGCCTCCCGCCGAAGAGCCAGGGGGAGCTTAAAAGTGGCTCCCCCTGACTCCAGCCAAGCTTCCGATGGAGGCAGCCCAGCTCACGATGTGATCAGCATGTGCGACCCTGCACCAGAGACGCCTGGCTAAGCCGGTACCAGAGTCCTGACTCTAGGATGAGATAATGTGTCCGTTGCTTTAAGCTGTTTTCAGGTCATTTTTACACAGCGGTAAGTAAAACATGCAAAGCTGGGACTACCACATTTTTAAAAATGCTTAAAAGACACTCATCATTTAGGGCATAAAACAGAGAAAGTGATGAAAGGGTGCTGCTCCAGCAGAGATTTATGAACAGGTGCAAACAATAAACTACCCTGACCTCTTAAATAATAGAAAACCTTAGAGACACAGCAGGTCAGGAGGCCACTCAAAGAATATTTTAACATGTACAGAATAAGTGCAAATTAGCGAGCTAAAAACAGACTAGGAAGATGGCATTGCTGAGTTGCTGTCTAACTTTATGCAATATCGTCTTCTCCGCCTTTCCTTCTCAGTAACCAAGTTAGATTCTGGGAGAGCCTCAGTCAACTGGATCCTTAATAAAGACCACAGAAGTCTGAATCCAGCGTGCCATGCCCTAGTACTAACAGGACTCCAAATGTCAGCAAGATCGTCCCTCAAAGTTTGCAGTCATGCGCTTCGATGAGCATTTATACCCAAACCAAAAAGACACTCTGAAATTAATCTAAAATTAAGCATAATCAAAAGTCATTGCCGGGACCAGCAGATGGTGTAATGGCTATGTCGCTGGACTCCCATGTAGTCGATCACAGTTAGAGTCCTGGACCTGGTGGCTTAAACTAACGACAGGCGTGTATGCGTGCGTGCCCAAGATCCCGAGAGGAGAAGGAATTGCAGCGTGACCGTCCTCCCTGGGGGATGATTTCTTGCTTTCTGTCTCTCTGTCTCTCTTTTTCTGGTGAGCGCGCACACCCTGTATCAAAAACCTCCAAAAAAAAGAAGGTCATTGTTAGAAATAATCTTCAGAGTGATGTAAACCTATTTCACTACTTTCTGATCTGTTTCAAAATCAGCCAATGACTCCAGTCAAACTTGAAAGAAAATGGCATATGACGTGAGAAACTGCAGGGAACACTTAGAATACTGATGATCTGTACAAATCTTGAGAGAGAAGTCTCCCTACTGACCACCGTGCAAAATGCACAGCTACGCTCCACTCCCAAGTGAATTTGGAAAAACTGTGGGTGATTCAGGAAGCTGATGGCTGCCTCACTGCGTGCCAGCCAGAGCAAACAAAAGCAAACTGCTCGGCTTTGTCCATCAGCATTTCCTGAACCTTGAGCCCTCGATGATTTTTTGAAATCAACAATATCCAAATTCTAATTTTCATTTCTTATTCTAAGATATTTTTGGCAAAATTTGTTCTCTTTTTTCCTCATGTTCTCTCTCATAAAATACTTAATAACATCAAGGTTTATTCTCTAAGGATCTAAGGATCAAGAAACAAGTTTTCTCATGGATCGCTGAAAGGCAATTTCTCTTGATGATGGCTAAAAATGCAGAATACCTGAAAAACAAATGTCCCAAAACAATTTATAGTATTATAGATGCTTTCTTGCAATTGTAACATGCACCCTTCTGAGACTTCATGTTCAACCTAGTAAGTTCCAAGCATCCAAAATGATTCAGTTCAATAATAAGTAGGTGTTAGGTGTCGTAGTCAGTTCAAAGATAACCAAATTAGAGAACAATTATTAAAACTATGTGACGGAATCTGGTTTTAGACCTTAGAGAAGTTCACCTTAAAATCATAGGATCGGTACAGGTGTTATGGAAGCTTGCGAATGATGTCAGAAATCTTGGATGGAGTTGAGAAAACAGCAAGCGCCGAGGCCCATGCGTTTCCTTTCATTCGTCCTGGGAAGGCTGAATGGGTGGGAGGATAAGACCACCTTTCTTGCGCAGCAGCGCGATCTCTTCCTTTAAGGCCAAGATCCTCTCCGCCTGCTCTTGGATCAATTCAGTAACCTTTTCTCTTGCCACAATATCTGCTCTCCGAAGGCTCTGGAAGGCATTGCCCTGTTGAAAGAAAACACCTCCCTGCTTTAAGCATCGTTTAAGTTATAAAAATATTCTTTTTTATTTTTTATTTTTGGAGAGGTTTTCGCTACAGGGCGCGTGCGCTCGCCAGACAGACAGAGAGAGACATAGAGACAGAAAGCGAGAAATCACCCCCCAGGGGGGATGGTCACGCTGCAATCCCTTCTCCTCCATTCTCCTCTCGGGATCTTGGGCACGCACGCACACGCGCCCGGCGTGAGTTTTAAGCCACCAGGTCCGGGACGCGAACCGCAGTCAACCACGTGGGAGTTCCAGCGACATAGCCATTATGCTAACTGCTGGTCCCTAAAAATATACTTGCCCTCACATATCCATTAGGAGTACAGACCTTGAGTCACTTAAATAGCCACTGCTCCTTGATTTAAGGAGCCTTCAACTAATCCCTCCACTAAAATCCCACCCTTAGTAAATGTGTGCCTCTGGACTACAGGGCAACCCTTCAGCTGCAAGTCCCCTTAAAAAGAGCTGGCCTTGAAGCTAGCTAGAGAGCTGCCCATCACTGGAATCATGAAAGATAAGGTATGATATTTTGTGTCCCCGAAATAAATCTTCTCTATATCCTCATCTGATTTCTTTCCCCCACCATCCGTCCTTGCTTGGGCTTCACTTCCAGGGAGATCTGTGCTCCACGAGCTAGGTTAGGACCATTTTAATGATCAGACTCAACCAGAGGAAATGTATGTGATAATTGATCATTTTTAACCTAAAAAATGGCCATTTCACCTGAGTTAACCTAAATGCTCGTTTGATGGCTTTCCCGCTAGATCCTAGGGCGTCTTAGGGACAGGGCCCAATATGATCGAGTGTCAACACTCTACCCAGTACCTGCCTAGTGGTGTTGCCTAAGTAGATGCTCAATAAAATCCGAGCGCATAAATCCATCTGCTGAAGGGGGGACATAACATTCACTCAGGGCCAGGTCTGCACGAGACGTTCTGCACATGCTCTCACAACTCCTCCTCACCCTAATTCTGAACGAGGGTAGTTCTTCCAGTTTTACAGATAAGGAAACTGAGACTCAAAGAGATTTCTTAATTAGCCCAAGTAATTATATTATTAAGGGCTTGAAGTGGGATTAGAAACAGGTTGCCTGAAGCCAAAGTTTCCTGCTTTTCCCATTACCCTTATTTACCTGGCAGATCTCTGTTGTAAGGATTACCTATACCCTGCCACTGTGCTCACCTTTATTTTAGAGGTTTTTTTGGAGAGATTTTCACTGTAGGGCGCGTGCGCTCGCCAGACAGACAGAGAGAGACATAGAGACAGAAAGCGAGAAATCACCCCCCAGGGGGGATGGTCACGCTGCAATCCCTTCTCCTCCATTCTCCTCTCGGGATCTTGGGCACGCACGCACACGCGCCCGGCGTGAGTTTTAAGCCACCAGGTCCGGGACGCGAACCGCAGTCAACCACGTGGGAGTTCCAGCGACATAGCCATTATGCTAACTGCTGGTCCCTAAAAATATACTTGCCCTCACATATCCATTAGGAGTACAGACCTTGAGTCACTTAAATAGCCACTGCTCCTTGATTTAAGGAGCCTTCAACTAATCCCTCCACTAAAATCCCACCCTTAGTAAATGTGTGCCTCTGGACTACAGGGCAACCCTTCAGCTGCAAGTCCCCTTAAAAAGAGCTGGCCTTGAAGCTAGCTAGAGAGCTGCCCATCACTGGAATCATGAAAGATAAGGTATGATATTTTGTGTCCCCGAAATAAATCTTCTCTATATCCTCATCTGATTTCTTTCCCCCACCATCCGTCCTTGCTTGGGCTTCACTTCCAGGGAGATCTGTGCTCCACGAGCTAGGTTAGGACCATTTTAATGATCAGACTTAACCAGAGGAAATGTATGTGATAATTGATCATTTTTAACCTAAAAAATGGCCATTTCACCTGAGTTAACCTAAATGCTCGTTTGATGGCTTTCCCGCTAGATCCTAGGGCGTCTTAGGGACAGGGCCCAATATGATCGAGTGTCAACACTCTACCCAGTACCTGCCTAGTGGTGTTGCCTAAGTAGATGCTCAATAAAATCCGAGCGCATAAATCCATCTGCTGAAGGGGGGACATAACATTCACTCAGGGCCAGGTCTGCACGAGACGTTCTGCACATGCTCTCACAACTCCTCCTCACCCTAATTCTGAACGAGGGTAGTTCTTCCAGTTTTACAGATAAGGAAACTGAGACTCAAAGAGATTTCTTAATTAGCCCAAGTAATTATATTATTAAGGGCTTGAAGTGGGATTAGAAACAGGTTGCCTGAAGCCAAAGTTTCCTGCTTTTCCCATTACCCTTATTTACCTGGCAGATCTCTGTTGTAAGGATTACCTATACCCTGCCACTGTGCTCACCTTTATTTTAGAGGCTGTAAAAGTGAAACGCTAACTGTACCCAGTTTCTTTTTCGGCTGAGAGTGGCTAAATGGATGTAAGCAGGATATTTTTCCTTTCTTTTTTATTTTTAGAGAATTATTTATTTTATTTTATTTATTATTATTATTATTTAATTTGACCAGAGAGAGAGAGAGACAGAAAGTGAGAAAGCAAGCCACCAGGTCTGAGATTTGAACTGCGGTGGGTCATCTGGGAGTCCAGCGCCTTAACCATCATGCCCTTGGCCGGCTCCAACTTTCACTTTCTTAATAAAAAGAACACGGGTGTGAAACGCAGAGCTGAAGCAGCCCTCCTGTGACTTGGGAGGAGATGGAGAATCACAGAGATGCTGGCTCTGATTCCAGAGACTCACTAAATCAAAACCCACAGTTGTCTCCCCCTAGACTTTGTGACTCCTGCTCGTTAAGCTACTCCCACTGGAGCTTTTAGTCGGTTGCAGCTAAAAGCATGCCCAGCCCCAGCTCATGTCTAGTCACTCCAGTTAGTCACTGTGAAGTCACTTTCACTCTTCTTTCTTCTCACTACATTCAATCAAATTGTGGCTATTCTTACTTTGAAATGTCTTTCGAAAATTCCTTTTTGCTTTTACCAACTATAGTCCAGTTCATTCCTAGACCACGGGAGTCGGCTTTGGAGGCAGACAGATCTGGGTTTAAAGCGCTGGCTGGTGGCGGGGCGGTTGAGGCAGTGGGATGTCATATGGCTGACTGTGCAGTGTGAGTCCAGACCCGACGGCTTGAGAAACACGTCAGGCGTATGTACACGTGTGCCCAAAATCCCCAAAGAAGAGAGAGATGGAGGAGAAGGGACTGTGGTGTGACCATGCCCCTTGGAAGTTGCTTTCTTGTTCTTCTCCACCTTTTTTTTTTTAATTTATTTATTTCATTTCATTTGTTATTATTATTATTTTAACTTGACCAGAGAGAGACAGAGGGAGAGAGAAAGTAGAGTGAGAAAGCAAACTGCCAGGTCCAGGACTTGAACCGTGTTGGCCATGGGGGAATCCAGCACCTTTAACCACCAAGCCACCTGCTGCACCCCTCTTCCACTTTTGTCTCTCTCTTTGGAGTACACATACTTTCTGGAAAATTTTAAAAAGCATACAAAAAATTAACCGCTACGAATTAGCTTTGAGAGCCTCACCAAGTTACTCTTCTGAGTTCTAGAAAGTAGTGTTTTGAAAATTAAATGTGATATTGTAATGGTGCCTGACTTAACCTGTTTTCTGTTTGCTTGAATGGTTAACCTTTAGAAAAAATAATAGTAACAGAGACTTCCTTCTTAATCCAGCCAAGAGATATAATTTAGTTGTTCTTAAGAAGTAGGAGAGGGACCAGCAGATGGCATAATGGTTACGTTGCTGAACTCCCACATGGTCAACTGCAGTTCGAGTCCCAGACTGGCACCTTGAAACTCATGCCAGTCACATGTGCATGCATACTCAAAAATCCCTAGAGAAGGGATTGTGGCATGGCCATGCCCCCTGGTGGGGAGGGAGTGATTTCTCACTTTCGGTCTGTTTCTGTCTAGCAAAAATCTGTCTAAAAAAAAGAAGTAGGAGAATCAGATAACAGATGTAACCAGAAAGGCTGACCACAAGAATAAATGAAGGCCTCCTTAGATTTCCTGATGCCCTGGGCAATTGAGGATGAACGAAGGATATGCTACACCTTGTCCTCTTTGTTCGATGTTCCTTGATCACATTACACATGAATCCAGGATTGCATCACATCTGCTCTCCAATCAGAGAGCGGCAAATCTGAGTTTAATCCTTAAATCCTTGCTGAGTTACTCTCAAATTAAAGCCCGTTCCTTCCCATGCAAATTAGTCAGTCATTGGCAAACTGCATGATGAACTTGGGCTTGATAACAATTGCTTATGTAAAGACTCTACATGTAAAGAGACCATGAAGATACCACATGTAAAGATGCCATGAAGATACCACATAAGAAGATACATACTAGAAATTTCCTTTCCCATATACTTCTTTCCTCTTCAATGTATCTGGACTTATCCAAGTACATCAAGTCAATGAACATTTATGACTGCTGTCTGTGGAGATGCTGTTTAGGCATTAATCTCAAAGACTGTCTTGATTCTTCACTCAAAAATTCCTCAGTGAATTGAGGGCCCTCACTATTCAAATTCTAGTTTTCCAGGGCCAGCAAATGGTGTAGTGGTTAAAGGTGCTGGATTCCCACATGGCTGACTACAGTTTGAGACCTGGTCCTAGCAGTTTGCTTTCTCACTTTTTCTTCCTCTGTCTCTTTGTCTGTCTCTGGTCAAATTTAAAAATAATGATAACAAGCGGAATTAAACAAATAAATAACTCTAAAAAAACTAAAGAAAGAAACAAATTCTAGTTTTCCTTTCATATCTAAACTCCAATTATAACCCTCCTAAGTCTTCTTATTCACTCTTTTTTTCTTTTCTTTTTTTTTTCTTTTTGGAGAGGTTTTTTTGCTATAGGGCACATGTGCTTGCCAGACAGACAGAGATAGAGAGACAGAAAGCGAGAAATCAGCCCCCAGGGGGGATGGCCATGCCACAATCCCATCTCCTCCATTCTCCTCTCGGGATCTTGGGCACGTACACACACGTGCCCAGCATGAGTTTAAGCCACCGGGTCCAGGACTCAAACCACGGTTGACTACATGGGAGTCCAGCGACATAGCCATTACGTTAACTGCTGGTCCCCTTATTCACTCTTCATGAAATATACCACACACTCTATTACCTTAAGACTTTTGCTTAGACCAGTGATTCTTAAACCCCAGCCTGGGACCAGCAGTTGGCAAAATGGCTACATCACTGGACTCCCATGTCGATTTTATTTATATATATATCTCAGAAGTGAAGTTTGACACCAAATTCAGGGAGTATATGGTCATCATTATTTATACCCAAATAGCCTTACCTCTCCAGGACCAAGGCAAACCCTACAGATCCATACTTACTGGGTTGTTGGGTAGTTGTGATGCACTTTTGCATAGAAAAACAGAAAATTACATAACAACTTCCCTGACAACCGAATATATGATTCCATGGCACCCAAGAGGTATTCAGTAAAGCTGTCCCTTGGGCCCACTGTGATGTGACTGAGGGACACGGATGGCCTGGAGGTGACCCAAGGGCAAGGTTTGTTGACATGCTAATACTTGATACTTGTGACTAGCGACCTTGACAGCTCCTCAATCCTGAAAACAGAAACATACCTGCTGGTTCTGTAACGTATTCAACTGCGTGTCAAGTTTCTTCTTCTCTATACATAAGTCATTCATCTGATGCAGCTTTTTGGTGTGTTCTTTCGTCTTCATCATCAGTTCAAATCGCACTTGAGCAATCTTTTCCTACCATGACAGGAAGATGTAAAATACAGTAAGTTAAATAAGAAAATTAGTGTCTAGATTTAATCAAAACCACCAGGCAAACAAAGCAAGATGCATGTTTGAAAATATAAACAAAAGCTAATATAAACATCTGACCAGAAGCAACTGCATTGGGTCTGATCCATAAAAGGTAAAATGAATGTAAGTATGCTCAAGAATAAAAGGGGTAAAATAAATAAAAACAGATATAGCTCTAGTTCGGGGATGAAATTAGTGTGCACACTGCTGGTATTCATTACTTACACTGGCGGAGACCGTACAGCCAACACAGGCAGAAGGGGAGCTGCCTCATGCCTAAGCAAGGTTGGGCTGAGAAGAACTGCAAGCAGGGCTGACAGTTACGGGCTCCAGTTTCTAACTGTGTTTTGTTGTACTGGTTTGTACTTTCAATCTCTCTGCCATGGGCTTTACTGTTATTACGGTTACCTGCAAGGGTAAAATAACACCCGCAGCCTTACTGCAACTTTACAATAAAGCCAATTAGTGATCCTGATGGAATGCGGTTCCTTAAGGTGACATCGATCAGGAAATTTGAGACTCACCTCACCTGCCTGTGTTAAGCCGAATTAGCATATGTTAGGTTAAATTAGTATAAGCCAAATTAGCATAAGTAGCATATGTAGACTAAGTTAGTTTAAGGCTAATTTTACGTAAATACCCCTTGCTAAAGCAGCAGGCCAGGTTAGCTTATGTTAGGTCAAGTTAGCACATCCACCACCATGACAGGGATTCAAAGATAGAGCACAAGAATTCAGTGATTAACAGACAGGAATTCAACAAACAAAATACAGGGATGCGCAGGTTAGTAGAGGAAGGACAGGCCTGGCTGGTGACGACAGGATGAACAAACTTGAAGATGCCAGGGGAAGATTATCTATCTTTACTGAGAGTTCTTATCTAAATTCAGGCAGGCAACAGATAGTCTTTAACTACAGTTTCTCATCTATGTGCTGTTAACTATGAAAAACTGCTAATTAAACATCCTGTGTTGTCTCCTGAGCTACAAAAACCCCCACATCCAAAAAAGGCCCTATCCGGTAATCAAGATCTAAGAAGAAAATGCACCAGCCAGATGGACTTTCTCGCCCTGAGAATTGTGACGGGTTATACCTAATCAAACAAAACAGACATCAAGTTTTATGATTATTGTTTCCATACTTTGTATACCTCATTTCTTAGAGTAAATCTTTTACTTCCCTCTCACCCCTCCTACTTCTGTAAAACATCCCTCAATAAATACGTATGTTTGATAACCACTGAGGCTGCAGCCTTGAGCTTGCTCTGACTGTAGTTGGTTGAGAACATGCTAAAGAGCATTGAGGTCTCAGTCTGATTCCTTCTCGCCTACGTCGCCTTCCTGTATATGAGCCTCAACCCACCCTGGTTGGAGCAGGTCTCCAGCATTACAGAAAAGATGAAAACTTAAGGAGCCAACTTTCATATCTTGCTCTTCTTTTCTGTTTTTTTTTTTTTTTTGCTTGTTTGTTTGTTTTGTTTTGTTTTGTTTTGTTTTAGGGAGATTTTTGCTATAGGGCACTTGTCTGCGCTTGTCAGAGAGACAGAAAGCAAGAAATCACCCCCTGGGTGGATGGCCACACCACAATCCCTTCTCCTCCATTCTCCTCTCGGGATTTTGGGCATGCAAGCACATGCACCTGGCATGAGTTTTAAGCCACGCCAGGTCCAGGACTCAAACCATGATTGACTACGTAGAAGTCCAGTGATGTAACCACTATGCCATCTGCTGGCCCCCTTATCTTGCTCTTTCTGCTGAGTTGGCCCCAAATCTTCATGACTTGAACAGTCACGAACTACATAATGGCTTTCTTTTGTTTCCTTACTGAGTTTGTCATAGGACAGGAGAGTGCTGAGCTGCATGGTGAAGTCCTTGGTTCTTTGGGTCCAGGTCACTAAAATTAGAGACCTCTCCCTAGGTGCAAAATAAAGCCACAACCACAATAAAAGTAGGAAAGATAATTTAATATGAAAGAAAGATTTTAGAAAAGAAGTACACCCAAAAGACCTTTGGATGGGCAGGTTGTTAGGTAGCAACTGTGTTTGGAACTGGTTAGGTATTATTTTTATTATCAGAGGTGATAATGCATATTTAACAGTGGGAGGTCTGTCATATTTCTGTCCTTGGTTTGAATTTGTGGGCTTTCTCCTGCGCTTGCACAGCTCTCTCACAGGTGAGGAATTTGAGAAGTTTGGATTACCTAACTGCGCATGCCCAGTGTGAGCCATGATGCCTAATTAGAATAAACTGCCCAATTAGTTTATTGCCCCAGTGGGAATCGGGATGTTGACCAAAATGTCTGGTTGAGTCTTTTTATATTGATGAGGGATGATAAGAAGGAAATTTATAATCATCCCTGTGTGTCTTCCTCAGGTACCAAGAAGAAAAATGGTATTTGCCTGGCCTTCCCAGCACCAGGAGCTGGGTGGGAAGAAGGCATCTCATGGAGGGTCTGGTCGTAACTCCTGATAAATTGTGATTGATGTGACATGTGTCTTGCTATTCTCTTAGGGCTGCCCACTCATTACTAGCTAACTGCCTACCACACTTGAGTAAATTATTCTAGGTGGCACATATTCCTTCCAATATTCCCCTGTTCAGAATCAATCCCACTGACAAAAACTCTTTTTCCTAAAACTAATTATTTGTTTTTATTTATTATCATTATTCTTCAATTTGACCAGAGAGAAAAAGTGAGCGAGAAAGAGCCAGAAAGCAAGCCCAGGACTTGAACCATGGTTAGCCATATGGGAGTGCAGTGCCCTAGCCATCATGTCACCTGCTGGTCTCTGACATAAACTCTTAATTAATTTTCTCCTTCAAAAGTACAGTGCTAAATTTTGGATTAGCAATGATGAGATGGGGTCATTGGACAAAATAACACTAGGAACTTCTTCTATCCTATCTGCTGATGAGATAATACAGAAAGTTGGAGAAGTCATAATGACTTGTGGATTTATATAATCCTATATTTTATTTTTTAAGAGAGATTTTTCCTATAGGGCACATTTACTCGCTGGAGAGGCAGAGAGAAAAAACAAGAAATTACACCCTGGGAGGATGACCACACTACAATCCCTTCTCTTCCAGTCTCCTCTTTGGGTGGCATGCACACACACATGCCCAGTATGAATTTCAAGGCGCTGGCTCCAGGACTCGAACCGTGGTCAACATGGGAGTCCAGCAGCGTAACCATTAAGCCAACTGGTGTTCCCAGTTAATATAATCTTTGTAAAAGCTCCTATCTCTGAGTTGGGCTGGAGCTGGAGCACTGTCTCACCTCACGGCTTGAAAACCAACATGTAGGCATTAAGTTCAGGTAACCACAGGTAATGTCTACATACTGTAGGTAAGACTCTACCAGCAATATAGTCTATGCCCTGTTACAAAACTTATTTCTTCACAGTGCTTTCTAATTTCCAAGTTGGAACAGTATGCAACAGTTATACCATAATACAGTTAAGGATCTCAGAGGGTAGCAGCTCCATTTCTAACACCGTCACAGTAATTATACATTAATGTAGGCCTCCCAGTGGGATCTACCCACAATCTTTTATGCCATTTTCCATCATATTTATGTGAACTCTGGACCCTCAAGTCCAGTGTTGGTGGTTTCACTCCAAGATAGACAAGTTTCTCCAAACAAGTAACAGTAAGGTAGCCAAGACAGACCTAAGATCCTAAGGGAGCCCCAAATGGGGCTCACAGACTTACCAACAGGCACAGGGATGATTCACCACTCACGGCTCACCAGGATTCAGCCAAAGATCACTCGCCCTCTCCTCCTTACCTCCCACAACTTCATTTCTTTTGCGTTTGATAGCTCTTTTCGAAGTTTTTTGATCTTTAGTTCTTCAAGTGTTGTATTAACAGAAAGCGTCTGAAGGGCTTCTAGGTCTATCACACGGCCAAACTTGCTGATCATGAGCTTACGAACTGTTTCCTCCATTTCTAAAAGACAGTCACCATCTCAAGCTGTTCACTGGCTCCCATTGTTAGTAAACACACAGTATCAGCAGCGGTTGAAAATTCAAAGGAACAGCTTTTATAAGTAGATGGAAGTTCTTTTTAGTTTTGCTATGGGGCATGTACACTTACCAGAGAAGACAGAGAGACAGAGAGAGAAGGAAAGTGAGAAAGCACACCCCAAAGGGATAACCATGCTGCAATCCCTTCTCCTCCTTTCTCCTCTTGGGATTTGGGGCACACAAGTATACCACCCAGCATTTTCAAGTCCAGAACTTGAACCTCAAAGTCAGCTACGTGGGAATTCAGCACCTCAACCACAGCGCCACCTGCTGGCCTGCCAGTGAAAGATTCTGTTACCAGTTGATTTCTCCTCTGTGACTTCACGCCTGCTGCTTTCCTCACATAAAACGCCCATTCCCTTACTGCCTCTTCATCTTCTAAATCTTGTATGAAAGTGGCTCATTCATCCCAAATGGCTTACACAGTCTGAACTGTCCCTTCTTGGGCTGTTAATAGGCTCCAATGAGACTATGAGGTTTTATTTTTTTTTTAAAAAAATATTAATCTCTGCAGTATCTGGTGTTAAAAATAGACAAAGTGTCACTCCAAATACAAAACTAAAATGCTTGCAGCGGTCATGGACCCCACACAGCCTGCTCTGCCCTGTCCCCTCTTTGTTCACCTCCTTTTCCAGATCTCTCCTTAATTATTCCACTCCAGACACCATGGCCTCCTCTCTGCTTCTCAAACATGAAGGCTCATTTCTGCCTCAGTCCCCCCTGAAATGCTCTTCTCAGAAACCACATGGCTTACTCCTCAAGGCCCATTTTCTGAAAGGAAGCTGTGAACTTGGTGAAAGACTCATTCCCTATTTCTGAAGGGGCACTAAGACCAGGTCCTCATCATCCAATTAGGGAGAACCACATCTTACCAGCTATGCTACCTTCAGGAAGTCTTCTCCTGGCCTCCCGTAACCCTCAGCATTCTTTCCCAGCCCCTTTTTAACTTGTCCTCCTAACAATTATTTCCATTTAATGTGCAATGTATTTCACTTTTGTTTCTTGTCTTTCTCCAGCATGGAAATACTAGGGCACTTGGGAAAACACTTTCCTGTAGGACGTGAACTCTCCAAAAAAATATCATGCTTGTAACAAGATGTTCTCAGTTACTGGATTGTCCTCTATGTGATGTTTGAAAACTCTAAGATATAACAAGATGACGCAGTTCTTTATTATTATATTTTTTTGAGTTTTTTGCTATAAGGCACGTGCACTCACCAGAAAGACAGAGAGACAGAAAGTGAGAAATCACCACCACCACCCCCCAGGGGGGAATGGCCACACTGCAATCCCTTCTCCTCCATTCTCCTCTTGGGATCTTGGGCACGCACGCACACGTGCCTGGCATGAGTTTAAGCCACCAGGTCGGGGACTCACACTGCAATCAACTACGTGGGAGTCCAGCGACATAGCCATTATGCTAACTGCTGGTCTCAGGATGACACAGGTGTGTTATGGTATAGAAATTTGTATCCAGGCACAACCATTATAATTAAATTATAATGGGAGCTGGCAAGTGGTGTGGTGGTTAGGGGCACTGGACTCTCACGTGGCTGACAGTAGCCACTGGCCATCATTTGACACAGCCCCAGGAGGGGCTACTCCCTTTCCATTCTATGTGAGTGGCACTCCATGCATGTGTGTGATGTGGCAGCCAGGGTTCTCACTTTGTATCGTTTTCGCCATCTCTCTCTTTTCTCGGATGAGCATTTTCCGCCTCTCCCGGCATTCTTTGTTAAGTTTTAGCTGCTTGGAATTTTCTTCCTGGAGCTGAATGATTCGCTCTTGCAGTCGTCCCAAGGAGTGATTAGAAAAGACCAAGGTACCAGATAGATCAGTAGGTACTTCTCCAAATACCACATACTCTATCTACAAAAAAAATGAAAATAGTAAACAAACTAGACAAAGACACAAACTAAATATAAGGCAGTCGAAAGCACAAGGACAGACTTCATTCTCTGTCCCGTTTAAGTCCTTGCCCTGGGCTTTCTCACCCTGTGTGGCAGGGACCAGGTAGTCACAGACAGTTTTATCAGACAGGGGGCCACACCACACCTCTGGGGACGGTGGATCTTTTCACACTCGCCATGCCCAATGTCTATTGCATAAGGTAACAATGGGACAAACATTTCCTACTAGGCAAACCACTGCACATAGTTAATCTAATTGTCAGGTGACCTGAAATATATATAAGGCTTCTTTGTTGTTGATATTTTTCCCTCTAAATACACTACTCTTAACCTTACGAAAGAGAATACAATAAGCCTTTTCTCTCCCTGATAAGTATTCCTGAAAATTAATACGAGTTGCAATTCTGGTACAGAGTGGAAATTAATATAAAGGAGGAAAAGAGAAAATATCTTTCTTTTGTCTTGACTGCCCTCATTAATGGATAGATTATTTGCACAGGTGTGCTAGCCTGTGCCTGCTTGCTTGGCTCCTCTCAGTAAGAACCTTGATTCTCCCCAGCTAGCCCTGTCTAAGGGGTGCTCACTTTGTATCGTTTTCGCCATCTCTCTCTTTTCTCGGATGAGCATTTTACGCCTCTCCCGGCATTCTTTGTTAAGTTTTAGCTGCTTGGAATTTTCTTCCTGGAGCTGAATGATTCGCTCTTGCAGTCGTCCCAAGGAGTGATTAGAAAAGACCAAGGTACCAGATAGATCAGTAGGTACTTGTCCAAATACCACATACTCTATCTACAAAAAAAATGAAAATAGTAAACAAACTAGACAAAGACACAAACTAAATATAAGGCAGTCGAAAGCACAAGGACAGACTTCATTCTCTGTCCCGTTTAAGTCCTTGCCCTGGGCTTTCTCACCCTGTGTGGCAGGGACCAGGTAGTCACAGACAGTTTTATCAGACAGGGGGCCACACCACACCTCTGGGGACGGTGGATCTTTTCACACTCGCCATGCCCAATGTCTATCGCATAAGGTAACAATGGGACAAACATTTTCTACTAGGCAAACCACTGCACATAGCTAATCTAATTGAGTCAGGTGACCTGAAATATATATAAGGCTTCTTTGTTGTTGATATTTTTCCCTCTAAATACACTACTCTTAACCTTACGAAAGAGAATACAATAAGCCTTTTCTCTCACTGATAAGTATTCCTGAAAATTAATACGAGTTGCAATTCTGGTACAGAGTGGAAATTAATATAAAGGAGGAAAAGAGAAAATATCTTTCTTTTGTCTTGACTGCCCTCATTAATGAGTAGAGAAGATAATCCCTGCATCATTAGTTTATGTCTGTTTAAAGATGGCGGGAGGGGACCAGCAGTTGGCATAATGGCTATGTCGCTGGACTCCCATGTAGTCGACCACAGTTCAAGTCCGGACCTGGTGACTTAAACTCACTCCGGGCACGTGTGTGTGCGTGCCCAAGATCCCAAGAAGAGAATGGAGGAGAAGGGATTGTGGGGTGGCCATCCTCCCTGGGGGGTGATTTCTTGCTTTCTGTCTCTCTCTGTTTTTCTGGCAAGCGCACGCACTCTATAGCAAAAACCTCTCCAAAAAAAAAGAGAGAGAGAGAGAGAGAAGACGCTGTGAAAAATGACATACATCCAAGACCCAAGATTTCAACCTCTATTTCATTCTTAAGTCATATGCTCCTCTTTTCTCCAGACACGAAATGACTAAACTTTAACATGATGGGGCCAGCAGGTGGCGTAGTGTTTAAGGCATTGGATTCCCACATAGTTGACTGCAGTTCAAATCTTGGACCTGGCAGCATGAAACTCATGCTGGGCACAAGTGAGTGTGTGCCCAAAATCGTAAAAGGATGGAGGAGAAGGGATTGCAATGTGGCTATCCTGCCTAGGTGGTGATTTTTTGCTTTCTGTATCTGTCTCTTCAGTAAGTGTACATGTCATATAGCAAAAACTCTCAAAGAATAATAAAATAAAATAAAGTGATAATGGGCCACAGAGAAATAAGCATTTTTTACTAAGGGTTTTGCCATAGGTAATATGTGCTTGCTAGAGAGAGACAGTGAGAGGGAAAATGAGAAATTATCCCCTGGTGGAACAGCCATACCACAATCACTTCTCCTCCATTCTCCTTCTGGGATTTTGGGCACATGTGCACACATGCCTGGCATGACTTTCATGCTGCTGGGTCCAGGACTCGAACTGCAGTTGACCATGTGGGAGTCCAGTGCCTTAACCACTATGCCACCTACTGGCCCCATAAGAATCCGACAGCAGATAAGAAAAGTTTAGGTGTCATTCTACATGTAGAATTCTCTGCAAAGGACTGCAGTTCTCCCCACTAGCGACCTTTGAATCTTTCTCCGGGAAAGCCTGGGCAGGAAGACTCTCGTTGGGACGAGGCAGAGCAACCTTTCCTGGCACGTCACCTGGTGCAGCTTGAGTGGAAATGCCACCAGCAGTTCATTTAGCCTCTGCTGCTTCTCTCGCTGATAAGCCTCCAAGGCCTCCTCTGCTGCATTCAGATTAGTGGCCACGACTTTCACCTGTGGAGAGGCCATGGGTGAAATGCTGACAAGACTGAACGAAGGAATACCTGAAACGGTAAATGAGGGCCTCCGAGAAGGAGGATCTGCTCTGCTGGGCTGTGATTAAATGCCTGACCCCACTCTGCAGTCCAAGGATGTATATTACGATCCACAGCGCTCTTTCAATTGTTCTTATGTCTTACTACATGCATAGGAGCTTGGAAGACTCATCCTCATCTCCTTTTTATTTGCAGCATGAAAATTGGTGCTTAGTTAGGGAATGTCTGTGTTATTCTGGTGGAGGTCTTGTTTGGGCACAACAACCTCAGTAAGTTAAAAGGGACTGTGGTTTAAGTCTTGGACCCAGCAGCTTGAAACTCATGCTGGGCACAAGTGAGTATGTGCCCAAAATCGCAAGAGAAGAATGGAGGAGACAGGATTGCAGGATGGCCATCTTGCCTAGGGGGTGATTTTTTGCTTTCTGTCGATGAAACTTTAAAGCAATGAAACTAAGCACAGTCTTTATCTCCAAAAAAAAAAAAACCTGAAAGTTTTCTAAATCATTTTCTATGGGAGGGGGTCTTCAAAAAATTCTTAAAAATATGAATTATAAAAAAATGCTAAATGAATTCCAAGTGTTCTGCACCAAAATAAACTTATCCTTAAATTCTATTTTTATGAACTTTTGAAGTCCCCTCATATTTGTAAGAAGAAAAGCAATCTACCAAAAAATATTTCTGAATATGAATCAAGCCAAGTGATGTTGGTCTAGATAAGAGTAACTAAGGGGAAATGAGCGGATGCTGCAGACATCAGCTCCTATTAGACCAGAAGTTTAGCTCAGCAGTCTCTAATGTGGGATGTACGTATCCCAGGGGACCAACAAAATGATCTACTGGATGCAGAGAGAAAATGCCAGAGTTTCTATTTCTAATGACTTTTTAATCTCATTCTTCTAAATTTGTTATTGAGAATGTTTCATAACAGAAAATGTATTAGCCCAATAGTTCCTGAACACAGTTTATAAATATATACATTAATTATTAGGGGTATGCGTCCCATCCTTTTTTTAATTTATAGAATTATGTAATTGAAAAGTTTGGAGACCAAGGACTGAGATTAGAAAAAAAAAGTCCATTCATCAAAAGAACGATGGCCCCTGCCAGTTTTTTTTTTTAAGGAAAAAAACAAACTGGGTGTAACATTAGAAATGTTTCTTCTCCAAGAAGAATTCCTAACAACGTCAGTTCTGTGAAATGGCTGCGAAGATGCGTAGCATGTTGGGTAGGGTAAACAAGCAGACAGGCCACCTTACTTTTTTGGACAATGTATCATATTCCTTTTTGAGGTTATCGACAATTTTCTTTTCTTCAACTAAGGCCTCCTCAATGTCCAGCCTTTTCTCTCGAAGTTGAAGGACCAATTCGAAAAGGGATGGATCACAATCTGAAAAGGGATTTAAAGTAAAACAGCAGCCTGTTTTGTTGTGGAACGTGGTGGTACCATTTTGTTGCAGAAGTGTGGGTTTGGAGCTTCAGAATCCATGGCGTCTATTTGTGTATCCCTCCAGAAAGCCTTCACTACATGTATGGCTCCATTCTTCCAGGTGGACATTATTAATAGTAATAATAATCATGATAGTAAAAATGATACTAGTACTGATGTTTGAGCAGTACTTGGAGCCAAGTTTTGGGCTGAGCCCTTCAAGTATGTTACCTCAATGAAGGCTCATAGACTTTGCAAGGTAGCAACCACAATTCCCGTTTCATAGATGGAGCCTCTACGTCTCAGAGAGGAGTAACATGGCGGCTACCAGGGATTCAACTGCATTAGCTCTCTATTATTTGTCATATCACACTAACAGCCATATTCCCCCACCGAGTAATGGAGAATCTAACAGTGGAATACTAGCATAGAATTTAGGAACTTTGTTCTAGACCTAGTTCTGTAACAATACTACCTAAGAGATGTTGTTTGAGCTAATTAATCCTGCTATAAAATAATGAGTAGTTATACAATGCCTTATGCTCTCTTACATTTACAAATAATATGATTGTAAGAAAACTCTGGTTTTCAAAATTAAAATGTTCTAAATCTTACTCACAAGTAAACTTTAAAATTTTGATTTAAACTTTATTTTGAATGTCTAGAAAAACAAATTACAGACCAAAAGAAAAGTTTCTTTTGCTAGGGAGCCATTTATCTATGGAGACTATCAAAATCTTGATCAGGCTGCTCCAGGTTGGTTTCACCAGTGAAAACAGCGAATACATTGCCAACCATTTGCAGAAAACGGGTACACATTGCCCTTTCAAAACAGATTTGAGATACAAAAATTTGAATGTACTTGTCAAAAAGGGAAAGTATTTCAAAACACACACACACACACACACACATACATGCACATATATACAAATTACAATCTGGGGTTTCTCTATAAAGTGAAACTTGCTTCATAATTTATAATAACTCTGAGTCAACTGTCTACAGATCATTTAATTTGTCACTCATAAGTGGCTGCCTAAGACAAGAGATAATACATCAACCAGGGAGCCCTAAGAAGTATACATTAGGCTATACGTCATACGATTTAAGTCGCCTCTTCTTTAAATTATATTATTAGAGGGGCCAGCAGGTGGCGTGGTGGTTAAGGACGCTGGACTCAAACATGGCCGATTGAGGTTCAAGTCCCAGACCGGCTTGCTTTCTTGCTTTTTTTGTTTGTTTCTCTCTCTCTCTCTCTCTCTCTCTCTCTCTCTCTCTCTCTCTCTCTGGCTCTGTCCCTCTCTGGTCAAAATAAAATAAATACATAAAGTTAAATAAAAATAATTCCTTAAAAATTTTTATCATTGGAGAACTGAGACACAAGTAAGAACCTTCTCAGTATTGTCAACATATATTCACACTTCACAGAACACATGGTTTATCCAACTCACTTATTGGGCAGATAGAATCATCAAAAACTTCATCTTCAGAGCCAGACTCATCCTCATCTCCCTCCAAGCTGGATTCTTCTTCACTTGATTCCTCACTTTCTTCATCTTCATCTAAAGAGAGATGAGGAGAAGGTTAGCAGAGAAGTTTCTTTATTAAACTTGATCAATACTAGATTTTTGTTTAAATTGCCACAGCGCTCATTTCCTTCCTAGAGAGAGGTGGGTAGAGAGAACACCCCATGATGGGAGTGGTCACACTGCAGCTCCTTCTCTTCCATTTCTTCATCCTGCTGGGACTTCACGGACATGTGCTCACTTGGCATGTTTTTCAAACTGCTAGGGTCAGCCCAAAATACTGTATTTTTAAAGTAAAGTATTTTCCAGTGAGTCAGCCACTAGGAAAATAGAAAACAGATAAAGCAGGAAATTCCTCAGTGTTTTTAGAAAAGTTTAAAATTATTAGGGACATAGACCCCAAACTCGATTCCTGCCGAAGTTTGTGCAGTTATTTATCGTAAATACGTCAGTCAGTGGGGTTTGAGACCAAGTTGTCAAGCTTCTTGTGTTGTGACTTCACATACATCTGGTGAAATAGGCCCTCAATTCTTAAATCGTAGGATGCTCTAAAAACAGAAAAGATTTTCATATCTTTTCTGAACCCAAGTAACACTATCTTTAGTCTTTACTTAACCTACTTAGTGTGAATGTGCATATTTTAAGGTATTTGATTTCAGATCCTAAATTGGACCCTGGTATGGGAGTATTATGTCGATAAAGACTCTCCTTTGCCCACACTTGAGTTAGGCTTTTCTGAGTTCTCTCTGACTAGTTGCCAACCTTGGGCTCTGTCCTTCTCAGCCTGTTTAGTCCAGTTGTGACAGAAATTATTTTGAGTCAGTTCAGCAAAATCCCCCACCCTTGATATCTGACCAAATTTCTCATTCCTCCACCTTTAATATCTTATTACCCTGGGCTACTTTCCTCAAAAGTCCTGTTAGGACAGTTTAGCAAAGAATTATCTACCTCTTAGTAGTTTTCTGTTCACTATTTCTTGGCTGTAAAACATTGTCCTTGTACTCAGAGTGGAGCCCCATCTCTGTCTCTTACCACAAAGACCCATGGTAGAGTCAGTCTCATAGTCTAGAGGTTAAGGAAGCTGGATCCCATGTGGATGTCATGGTTCAAATCCCAGCACAACAGCTGAAAAACACACCAGGCGTGTGTGTGCAAGTGCTCATCCCAAATCCTGACAGGACGGAGAAGTGGAGGAGAATGAACTGCACATGACCACACCCCACTGGGGGGTGCTTTCTCCCTCTCTCTGTCTCTCTGGCAAGTCCACACACCCTCTGACATCCACACCACACACCCCCAAAAAAAAGAAACAAGGAGAAAAAAAAAGACAATTTAAAAACTATAAACCAACAGTCCTTATTAATATAAATATAAAATTTCTTAACAAATATTGGTAAATAGAGTTTGGTAATAAATAAAAAGAATTTTCACTATACCAAGGAGAGTTTATTATAGGGATCCAAGTCTGGTTCAACAATTAATAATCACCTAATGTAATCCACCTTATTAACAGGTTAAAGGAAAAAAATCATCTGATCATCAGTAATACAGAAAAGCACCTAACAAAATTCAGCACCTATTCATGATAAAAACCATTCATAAAAAGTAGAAACAGAGGGAAACTTACTGAACTTGACAGAGAATATCGCTGAAACATCTACAGGTAACATTATACTTAATGGAAAAAGAGTGAATGCTTTCCCCCTAAGATTGGGAACAAGACAAGGGTGACAGCTCTCAGCACTCCATTTCAACATAATAATGGCTGTTCTAGCCATGCACTAGGGCAAGTGAAGGAAACAGATAGGCAGATCAGAAAGAAGTAAATAAACTGCTCGTGTTTGCAGATGGGATAATTATGTACATAGAAATTCCCAAAGAATCTACTGGTAACTCTTAGAACTAATAAGGTCATGAGATATGAGACAAAAATTAAAAATCTATTGTATTTCTACATACCAGCAATGAATAAGAGGATACCGAGATTTAAAATATAAAACCATTTAAATTATTCAAAAAAGGTAACACTTAGTGTAAATCTAACAAAACATGAATATGAATTGTATGTTGCAAACATGCGATGCTAATGAAAGAAACCAAACATCTAAATAAGTAGAAACGTATTGTGTTAAACCTCTGGAAGACTCAACTCATTAAAGATATTAGTTCTTGGGGCCAGCAGGTGGCATGATGGTTAAGGGTGCTGGACTTCCGGATGGCCAAACACAGTTCAAATCCCAGACCTGGCAGCTTGCTTTCTCACTTTTCCTCTCTCTTGCTTTGTCCCTCTTTGGTCAAATTAAAATAAATAAAGTTAAATAAAATAATTCTTAAAACAAAAAAGGAACTCGTTCTCTCCAAATTGATATACAAGTTGTTTAAACAATTGCTATCAAAATTCCAACTAGATTTTTTATATAGACCAAAAGAGGGCCGGTCTTACAGCACAATGGTTAAGCATAATGCATCAAGAACAAGATCCCACATGGTCTAGTCCCAGTCTCAGGGGCTTGAAAAATGCACTGGGTTTATATGCATGAATGCCCCAAATCCTGACGGGATGGAGAGAAAGGATTGCAGCATGACCATGTCCCACTGGGGGGTACATGCTCTTTGTCCCTTTTGCACATGAGCGCACGTACCCTCTGGCAATTAAAAAAATTTAAAAAGACAAATAACGGAACTACAACAGCTAAAACAATTTTGAAAAAGAAGAACAAAATGGGAAGACTTGGGCTACCTGATTTCAGGACTGGATGTGCAGCTAGAGTAATCAAAACTATATACAGGTAGAGAGATAGACACGCATATCAATTGTACAGAATAGGAAACCTAGAAACAGATGCACACAAATATCCGCAAATGATTTTGACAAAGATCAAAGTCATTCAATGAAAAAGAGACTACCTTTTTAACAAATGGCTTCAACAAATGGTGCTACAGTGAAAGAAAAGACACAAGCTACAGACTGGGAAAAAAATATTTGCAAACCACATATCTGACATAGAACTAGTACCTAAAATACATAAAGAACTCCAAAATTCAACAAGCAAACAATATTATAGCATGGGAAAAAGACCATTCACCAAAGAATATATATGGCAAATAAACACACAAAAAGAAGTGTTTGTTAAACTACACAATGCCAACGCATACCAGACACACACACACACACACACACTCCAGATGTTTGAAGACCCACAGGTTTGTATCTTCCTCTCTTTAATCTCCACAGTCCCTTTACAGTGTCTATGTTGAAGAGGGGGCAGGGAGGAGCTATCTATCATCTAATAGGTCCCTTTAGGTACATCTCTGTCTCATGTTACTGAAAAAAAAAAAAAGAATTATATGGAAGAAAGGAACACAAACCGGCATCTCCTTCAACTTCTTTTTTCTTTACCCGCTTAATCTTCTTCTTTAGGACCTTTGTGAGGAAGTTAGCAAATTTATTGTTTTCTCCAAGGGCTGCTTGGAAACCAGCGTAGAGCGCCTTTTCTTGATCTAAGAGTCTTGCAATTTCATTCTTTTTCTCTTCCATTTCTTTAAGAGTTTCATTAATTTTCCACTAAATGAACAACAACAATAATAAATGACAAGTAAAATATTTCTGATAAGTTAGGGTCAGAGAGCAATGCAAATTTATAGTCTACAAACATTTCTTTATAGCTGCTTGTTTTTTGTTTTCTTTTTGTTTTGTTTTGTTTTTTGTTTTTTGGTTTTTTTTTTTTTGGTCCAAAGGCATGGGCACTTTTGTTTTCTTTTTTTGTTTGTTTTGTTTTTTGTTTTTCGGTCCAAAGGCATGGGCATGCACACAGGAAGAGAGAGAGAAAGCGCCCCCTGGTGGGGCCTGGTCACACTGCAATCCTTTTTTCTTCAGTTCTCCATCTCATAAAGATCCTAGGCCTGCTCTGGCATGGTTTTCAAGCTGGCCAGGATGAGATTTGAATCCTGGTCAGTCAGGTAGAGCTAGCTTTCTCTGTGCAGAGTTAAGATCTGTGCTACAGGGCCAGCCTTTTTATAAAGCTTCTTGGTAGAGGGTTTACATTTTTGATGAGTGTAAAGTCATCAATATGTTTGGTTAAAATTGTATCATTCTTTTGCAAAAATCAGTTACATTCAGAATTCAAAAGATCAGCTTTTCAATTTTAGCTTCCTCAAAACACTTTATTAATTTTTAAAATTTATTTATTTAACTTGATTTATTATTATTTTCCATTTCGATCAGACAGACAGAGAGAGAAAGAGGGAAAGTGAGAAAGCAAGTCCCCAAGTTCAAGACTTGAACTGCGGTCAGCCATGTGGGAATCCAGCACCTTTAACCACCACACCACCTGCCAACCCCCCTCAAAACACTTTAAAACAAATGAGAATTTTGACAGATATGTGGATATCAGGTAATATTTTTACATGTATGGTCTTAAAAATCAAAGATGTTTTTGTATTAATATACAATAACTAAAATTTTAAAAATCATCTCTAATGAAGCTGATAGACCTAAAAACTGACATATTATTCAGTATATAATATCTATTCTCCTTTTTTAAAAAAAGCAAAGATAACATAATATATTTATTTAAATGTAACACTAGATATAATAAAGACAATGTCCTGTGACAGTCTATTATGTATTATACTGAAACTACTATCATACTTTAAAAGCTCTCCAACTTCTTTTCCTGTTATGTTCATAAAGAGAACATATAATCAAATCTCAATTTCACATGACAGCTGGTTACCAAAAAATGAACTCTTCAGATTCATACATAAGCTAAATGTAAAGCTCACTTTTGAAATTTTATTATCCCACTTTTAAAAATATCCAATCAAAATCACTAAAAAATTGGAATCATTTCTCTAAATAAATACCAAAAATGGAGAACAAGCAGGAATAACAGAAATCAGGAAGAAGAAGAGAGGGGAGAGAAGACAAGAAAGACATGAGGGCTGGAATCGATAAGGAAATTAAGAAGAAAATTTAAAAAAATCAACTTCCCAGGGCCAGCAGGTGGTGTGGTGGTTAAGGGCTCTGGACTCCCACATGGTTGACTGTGGTTTGAGTCCTGGACCTGGTGGTTTGCTTTCTCACTTCCTCTCTTTCTCTCACTCTGTCCCTCTCTGGTCAAATTAAAATAAATAAAGTTAAATAAAATAATTCTAAGGAATAAAAAAGAAATCAACTTCCTTCTATAACTAAGGGAGAAGCTAGCTAGCTCAGCTATGTGGATGTCAGCTAATATTTTTACAGCCAGCTTGCCCACTCATACTTGCATGTCCTGTTCCTCTTTGTCTAATGAATTCACACGCTCTTGAAGTATGTTTTCCTGTTTTTCAAAATTTTTGAGGAGAAGCATTTCTTGAAATAAGGTAACATGGTGCAAGTCAGCCAATTTCATCTGAGTATCCAGTTTCAGCTTCTGATGTCTCAGGAGCCTGAGTTCGGCATCGAATGTAACAATTAGTTCTTGGATCTGAAGTAGAAAAAACATGGGAGAATATGCTAGAAGGTAAGAATAGGTCCATGTGTCTTTATAAATATCTAACAGCACTAATTTGTTTAAAAGCATGCTCTCATCATGCCATTATTATGGATGGACCGTTGTGTGTGTGAGCGTGTGTGTGTGTGTAGTCATATAAATTAATTATGCCATTAAATTCACATAAATAAGTGTATTAAGTGGTAAGAATTTTGTAACTACCGTCCTTCCAGCTATTTCTTCACACCGATTAAGCCATCCAGAACGGTATCATCTAACTTGTAAGCTAACACTAACACGTACAAGAAGTATGACATACGGCACTGGTAACAGGCGTAGCTGCACTTTAGAAACGAAGAGTATGTAGGGTGGATAGAAGATGCTGGAGAGAGCCTGAAACTGTGCTGGGCTTTGAAGACTAAACTCTGGAAGGAAGTTGCTGTAGGTAGGAGGAGATAGCAAAGGAAAAAGCACAGATACAAAGTTAGCATGGTGTAGGTGGGAAAGAGGGGATGGGGAGAGACAGGAATAGCGGGAAATCAGAGCTGGAAGAAGTAGAGCTAATGGGATGGACAGTACGACTGAGGAACTCTAGGGGGCACTGTCACAGGGTGGAGCTGAAAAGACGCTGAGGAAGGGAATTCTATACGGCTGGCAGCAGGAAGTTACTGATTCAAACAGGTTCTTGTTCTTTCATAGTCAGAGCTCATTCTGCTCAACTGACCCTAGTCTGGTTCGGATTATCCTAGAATTAAAAAGAACTGCTCTTCAAACTTCAGAACACGTCACACCCAGTCACCAGCGCAAACACTCCCAACACTCTCTGTAAATCACCACATTACAGAGAGAGGATGGAGGGAAAAGCAGAGGGTGCCCTATTTCTCCAGAAGATTTCAGATTATGTTCCATCCGTCATCTGAAAGCTGCGCCTTCACTTCCCCTTTCACTCTGGCTGCAGTAAGATGCGAACTAACTGAAACGGGCTTGCCTTTCATTCTTAGCTCTCCAAAAAGAAAAAAAAAAAAAAAGGAAAAAGCTCTAAGTTCTGGGCAGAGCACAATGATTTTCGGGAGGCAAAAGATGGGGAGAAAGCCAAGCTATCAGTGAATGGTAAGCTGGTCAAGGTTTGGGAAAGGTTAAGGTAGGGAAAGTAAATAAATAA